CACCTGAAATATAAATAAAAATTTAAGTGATCGTCAGTATTTACAAAAAAGAAATATTCCTTTTTATGTAAATTCTTTGATTTAAAAAAAAAAAAAAAAAAAAAAAAATAGATAATATTTTGGTTGAATTAAATACGTTTTTCATTTTTTTAAAAAAAAGTTTATTCCAGTGTCTATAGATGTGAATCTGTGGAGTTGCCACGATATTTCAAAACTAAATCAATAACTTCACGCTTATTAAAAATCCGCCAATATTAAAAGGTCTCTATATATTTCTAAAACCTAAAATTCAAATCGAAGTAATTAAGATGGGTTTCAGGTTTGCTTAGCATTAAAATCAATGACCAATAGGGAATCAATGCTAACTAGTATCATCAGCCCGGCACTTGCAAAAATCATTTTTATTTTGCGCATAGTTTATCCTCAAAATACCGACCCACCGAAAGTTTTTACCATAGAAATTGGCTTTGCTGACAAAATACGAACCCCGATTCAGATTAGGGAATTAACTTTCTGCGTGTGTCACAAATATTCAACCCCGAAAGACCTCGAACGACAGCCTCAAAAACTAACCACTAAGCCGAAACAAATCTTTTTTTCTGTTATTAATAAATGTATCGCTTGTTGATAAGGTGAGAAATACGTAGAGTGAACACGCTATTGAGTTTGGAGGGGGGACAGCAGCCGCGTGAGTTCCGCAGTTCTATTGTCTCAATACGCAGTCGAATGGAAGGGTGTACAAAAAAAATCGTTTACTTAAGTAAAAGAAAAAAAGGTGGGGAAAGGGAAAAATAGAATCCAGGAATAGCAAAAGGAAAACGACCTTAATCGGCATTATATATATATATATATATATATATATATATATATATATATATATATATATATATATATATATATATATAAAACAGTAAAGGATATATTGATTTGAAAAAAGATCTATCCATGACGCTAGAAACACGGAAAGTAATTTAATGACTAACATGGCCATAACAGCTTTGATTGGCTTATTTTTAGAAGAATCAATTACCAATTTAGATAAATGCTCTCAACAAAAAGCATTTTTATAAAGTAATATTCGGGCTGGTGTTTTAAAAAATTCTTGGCTCGACAAAGAAGAAATAAAAAGAATTCACATGTATGGTCCTATTTTGAGAAATGGTCGGGACGATTGTTTAGAACCCCACCTAGCTTCGTTTGTTCAAAACAATTCTTGAAAGTAGCGTTTGGAGTTTTTAAAATTTATAAATGGTTATTAATGCAGTGGATTTATTGTCTGCCAATTGCATAGCATGCAAAGTGTTAAAAGTTATTCTATAGTTATGGATATGCTTTGTGATTTTATTTTTAATTAATATTAAATAACGGGACTTGTATGATGACCAAAGTCATCTTGCCACACGGATAGATAGATAGATAGATAGATAGATAGATAGATAGATAGATAGATAGATAGATAGATAGATATGAACAGACTGAGATAGATAGATAGATAGATAGATAGATAGATAGATAGATAGATAGATAGATAGATAGATAGATAGATATGAACAGACTGAGATAGATAGATAGATAGATAGATAGATAGATAGATAGATAGATAGATAGATAGATAGATAGATAGATATGAACAGACTGAGATAGATAGATAGATAGATAGATAGATAGATAGATAGATAGATAGATAGATAGATATGAACAGACTGAGATAGATAGATAGATAGATAGATAGATAGATAGATAGATAGATAGATAGATAGATAGATAGATAGATAGATAGATAGATTTGAAAATGTTTACTTTTGATAAATGAAATCGAAGAATAAACCTGTTGTTTCCCCAAATTTAATTCAACAGTAAAAATCCAAATTTACTGAAATGAAATCATGGATCAGCCTACATATTGCAAGCATAAAGATATAAGAATATATAGGAAAGTATTTTTACGAGAAATGTTTATCGCCTCATTCAACTAATTTTCATCTTCATCTGTTAACAGGTCCCAGAAATGGGCGTCTTTATTCATTTTATTATTTAATCGAATTTACCTCAACCAAGGCTGTAAAGCTACTAAGATTCAAGAGGTTACTAATTGTGAAAGAATTAAAAAACAGATACATTATTAACGAGCGAATACAACAAAAAAGTGATTAGGAAAAGAGTAGATAACGATTGGCATTGCATTTAAATTTTTGAAGATTAAAGTTGGTTGGGAAGCATGGAGACGGAAGTGAATTCCACAAGTGAGAAGTGCAAGAAAAGAAAACGTTAGCATAGAACTTACGGTTACATCTATAGCCATTTCAACTGTAAATTGATGAGACAATTTTTTTAACTTCCTTAAAACAGATTAATTCTTTTTCTTTTTTTTTTTACTGAATATTCATTCATTGTTTTATTACTGACTTTTTGCTTATTGACATATTAATAGAAATTTATAAAGAGAAAGTAAAAAACGTTATGCATTAAGAAGAAGTCAATATTTTAAACAGAGATCTTTAAGCTGATTTTTGTCTCAGCAAAATCACTTTTAACAAAATGCGTAACAATGGAACAAAAGACAATGGCGCTATATTAATGAGAAAAAAAAAGACGAAGAGTTGTTCAGAAGGAATTTTTGTAATTTAAGTAATTTTCCAGAATGCAGGAAAATATTGCCATTCTTTTTATATTAGTGACCACCAGCCTTCGTGTCAAGACGTTTGAAAAGAAAGAAAAAAAAACCTAAAAAGCCAGCATTCAGCAAGGTGACGCAGTTAACCAAAGTTAACACATATTTGATCACTAAGATGTTTCAAGTCCAATTATTATTATGAAAAGACAGGGAAAAGAATAGCATGATCAATTTGAAATAAATGTAAAACTTCTGGTTAATTTTTAAGAAGATGCCTTAAAATTAAATAAAAACGTAATAATTGATTATATTATTTCCTCATATTCCATGAAAAGAAATTCTATTTTTGTCTACTCAAAACTTGATCATCAATATTTGTAAAAATATCCGTTTAATCACGTTTTGTTAAGATGTTAGATGAGTTGAACATGTCATCTTTAAGGAAAATGCTTCTGTACTCTCATCTGGGATAAGCTAAGCTGTTCATAGCTTGAAACGTGTTAATCCAGTCATAATCGTGTCATTCTGTCACCTTTAGCGAAGTTGAAAGATTTTAGGAGAAAATGACTCATTTTTCAGGTGGTTAACACAATTTAGAATAAATTCAAAAGCGATGCTTTTTCGAGGAGAACTCAGACTCAATTGAAACTTATTTCACAGAAGAATAAGTTACACTAAAAAACGCATTATACATACATATATATGTGTGAATATTCTGTGTGGATATATATATATATATATATATATATATATATATATATATATATATATATATATATAAATAAATGTGCAATCAATTTACAAATACATGAATTATTCACACAAAACTAATGCAAAGGT